CGGTTCATTAATTCAGTGATAATCTCACAATGATCCTCAATAGACTTACTATGTACACAAATACCATCGAAGAAGATTGCTGCTCCTTTCATTCCTGTCGTTAAAAGGCGGATTAATGATAGAAAGACCGGCGCGCTTGTTTTCAATCCGAAAGGCAACCTTGTAAATTGAAAAGAGCCTTGGTCACATTGAAACACTGTCACATGCCTATCCTATTTTCTAACTAGGCATTGAAGATATCATGAATAAAGGTCAAACACCAAGTGTATTGTGTATCCTCCTAGCGCATTTAACTCATCGTCTACATTTGACACTGGAAAATTGTAATCCGAAATCAGTGTATTTACTGCGCGGAAGTCTGTTACTGGTCTTTTCTTGATTACGCCTTCAGCATTCTTTTTTTTGTCCGCGCAAAATGTTGAACTCGAATAAGGGCTGAAAGACCTTTCAATTATACCTTACTCAAGCATATTTAAAACTTTAATATATTCTTTATCTCTGATTTCGTCCAATTTTTTGAGTAGAGTTATTGCAGAATATATTACTGATAAAAGTTTGTTCACGGAATATGGCTCATCACTTTTGTAAGAGTTCGTATTTTTTACTACCTTAATACATTCATTAACTCCTTTCAATAGGGTCGTCTCGTCAGTATTATCGTTACAATACAGGGTGTCCAAAAAGTGCCGGGACACCCCAGTAAGTCCTGAGATATAACTATTTCCGAGGAGATTAAGGTCATTCCTGTAGTAACTTTGAACGAGGAATCCAGTGGTAACCTTGGTTTTGACCTTGAGCTTGACCTTCAAGGTCATTAAAAGGTCAACTTTTTTTTCAAATGGGAACTCCTATTTTTGACAACGGTAATCGAAAGAGCGGGAAATTTTACGTCCAAAACGGTATTTTAAAATTTTTTGTCATGGCCTTAAGAAGATCGATTTAAGGTCAAATGCTTGAAAAACTGCCTAAATGCGTTTTTTTAATTTTTAAGATATCGAAAAATGACCTCTACAAAATTTGTTCAGAACAGAGTGGGCCACTCAATGCACCAAAAACCTTTGACCTTTAACCTTATTTTGAAGGTCATTTCAAGGTCGAAGTGTTTTTTGTAATGGAAACCCCTCTTTTTGACCCCGGATTCGCACATAGCGCGAAATCCAACGTTTGGATAAGGTATTATGTTGAGTTTCGATTGATCCACGACGTTCATCGCTAAGGTCATGTGAAATTTAGATCCAATATTATTCGCGAAACATTTACAAAATGTTTCGAGCTAAATTTATTAAATTCTACTGGGAGCATGTTACAGTGACCTTATATTTGACCTTCAAGATCATTTTAAGGTTATTTCAAGGTCACCTTTGATTGTTTGAATAATAATGTAACGGGTTATCCAAACCGAAAGTCAAGTTGTTTTAAATGAGGAGCAAGCAGAGATATAGGTACAGTTTTTTTGCCGGATAAGTTTTTTCCATGCACTGCGTTTTGAATGATTCTTTCTGATTTCGCGCTATGTGCGAATCCGGGGTCAAAAATAGGGGTTTCCATTACAAAAAACACTTCGACCTTGAAATGACCTTCAAAATGAGGTTAAAGGTCAAAGGTTTTTGGTGCATTGGGTGGCCCACTCTGTTCTGAACAAATTTTGTAGAGGTCATTTTTCGATATCTTAAAAATTAAAAAAACGCTTTTAGGCAGTTCTTCAAGCATTTGACCTTAAATCGACCTTCTCAAGGCCATGAAAAAAAATTTTAAAATACCGTTGTGGACGTAAAATTTCCCGCTCTTTCGATTACCGTTGTGAAAAATAGGGGTTCCCATTTGAAAAAAAAAAATGACCTTTTAATGACCTTGAAGGTCAAGCTCAAGGTCAAAACCAAGGTCACCACTGGATTCCTCGTTCAAAGTTACTACAGGAATGACCTTAATCTCCTCGGAAATAGTTATATCTCAGAACTTACTAGGACGTCCCGGAACTTTTTGGACACCCTGTATACGCTCCTGCGATCCTTGCTACTAATTTCTCTAATTTTCGTATTATAGTATGACTGTATACCCACATTACTTTTTATCATTGACAATTTCGTGGGGTGAAATTTATCATCTGCAAAATTTTTATCGAGTGTGCCTTCTTTATGGCTTTGTTCAGCCCTACTTATTTTATTGTTCTGAGTAAATAATGAATTAGCTTTCACGGAACTTGGGCGTGCACTCCCGCATTCTTTGTATGCTTTGTATGAATAAACTGAGTATGAACTTTGGTTTTTTTCTAATTTTTGAGTTTTTCTTACAATTTTCAACATTTGAATTACTAATTTCAGATGTACAGATTTCAGGTTTACAAATTTTAACTTCACTATCCTTTTTTGGCCCAATTTCGAAATTACAAATTTCAGATTTTTTATGTCACAATTTACAAGTTTCGACTTTTCGCAAATTTACTCCAATTTTATTTGAATGATTGTTTTCGGAACCATCCCCTCTAACTCGATTAACATAGTTTTTATCCGCCTTAAGACCTGTCTCTAAATCTTCATTGCTTTCTTTATTATTGGTAGCTCTTCTCGCAAGTGTATCAAAATTGTTACAAATCCTTACTTGATTTTCGACTACTCCAGCGTAAGTTTTGCAGTTTATTGTTCATTTTGTACAACTATTACTATCTTGCGATGTCATAATTTGATTATCGGTATTTGTATTGTTTGATCACTTTTTTCATTAAAATTTGGTATTGAAAATTTTATGTTTTTCTGATTCGTAACAGGAGTTTCGTTTCTTGTTTTATATATTTCGTCGTCGTTATCATCGTCAATTGTCAAGTTTGCCAAAGATTGGAAAAATTTTCTTGACTTGTCGTCTGTTATTTCCGCGGTTGACACAATTATTGATTCAAATTTATTTTTAAATTGTACTACTTTGTCAGTACAATTCACTGCTTCTGAAATTTCTTTCGGGCTTATATTGCGTTTTGTTAATTCTTCTACAATAAGTAGTAAAAGTGGATCTTCACATGTACTCGTATTCCTTATTAACTCTCCATCTATATAATAATGTTCTAAAATTTTTATTAATTTATCTAGTTGTTGTTGTTTGTTGTCCTCTATTTTCAAACCTACATCCTGACGAGCGTGCAGAAATTTTATACATTTCAATAACGTTGGTTCTCTACTAGTTATAAAATTAGCATCTACTTTTCCTATGTATTTTTAAAATAATTAGTGCTTCCATATATCGTTTGTCTCTTGAATCAACCCTCGTAGCCATGTCTAAAGAGAGAAAAAATAATTTTGCCTAACCCTGTTTTTCGTTAAAAAATAATACCCAGAGGGGTCCCGGAGGGTTGTTACGTCTCATGCAACGACCGCGAATTGACAATAGTTACTTAACCGTGACTGTCTCCTTTCTCTTAACGCGTAAGCGCTTTACCACGAGTATGAGACTAAACTAGATCATACTGGCAATCAAACTAAAGCACCGATCAGAAAGGTAACAGTTAAATAAAATTACCTGTAAAGTAACTCGTCCTGAAGCTTGTACCGCAGAAGCCAGGGATGTATCGTAGCTATATGGAGTAGGTGTAAGACTTATAATTTATAATAAATGATTCGTAGAAATTTAATTTAAATATTTATTACTCAAAATAAGTGATACTGAGACTTCCGCAGTCTTTCAAAGTAGAATACTGAGTTCTCTCGACAGTCGATTTACCATCTCTTTTATAAGATAAAACATAAAAAGAAGGCTATAAAGGGCTAAACCCATAAGGGTAACGCGCGTCACCAAGAACAAGATCAGACTTTAATTAGCCATTACTCTAATTGAGAGAATTCCCCTCACATAAAAATTTAAATTTTGTCGCTCTGACCTGTTCTCGACGTTACAAGATTATGCATGTTTTAAGAGGCAAACTGAAATTTATGGATCAGGCCGATATCATGAAAAATATATCATAGCATATAATCGCAAATATAACTTGACTATCGCCAAATCAGACGACTGAAGAACCGAAATATTCAATTAACAAATATACTGATTCAATTGACAGATATATGGTATCAGACTTCATATAGAAGTCGTTTAAATCGAGTCTATGTAAAAAGTCATTTAAAAAGGTTCCAGGCATAATATAGAAGTCGTCTGTATAGTGTATTTTTCAAAATTTGAAACTGTTTAAGGCCTATTTTAGAAGTCCTTTAAATCGAGCATTTGTGAAAAGTTATCTAAAAAGGTTTCAAGCTTAATATAAAAATCATCTGAATCCAGTGTTCGTCAAAAATCGCTGAATCCAAAAAAGTCCTCCCCCCCACACATAGGTATATATGTATTATAATTTAATTTAGCGGCATTGCTGCCGCCGGTGCTGTATTGAACCAATATCTTGGTTTCTGTATAATCCGATTGGATTATTGAAGTTATTGGGTTGATAATAACTTTTTAAAAAGACAATGTTATTAGTAATAAAATATCCCATTTTGTATTTGTAAAACTGTATTACGAATTGGAAGATTCCAATGTTATGAATCATATTGTCTTTCCTCTAATCTTCAAAGTAAATTTAACTGGTAATATAAAAAATATCATTTTTTTTACTTTTTTTTTATTAAGTGTGAGAGCGTTGGGTATATCGAATATACCGACACATTTTATTATATATTATATATGATGGAAATAGAAATGAACTGTTCACATTATTAGCGAAATCTCGAATATAAAAGACATATTTTCATATTAGGTTTAACATTTTTCAAAATAGAAGATTTGTGGAGGAATTAAGGGAAAATAACTTCAGAGTGATCGTATCATCAAATGCCAATGATAAATTTTTGTTTAATTTGCATTGTACAATGTAGTTAAAAATAATTAAATTATATATTACATTGAGAAATGAGAAGTTAGAGAGCGAAACAATGCAGAGGGGGCAAAGCCCCTTTTTGCGGGCACGCACACACACACACGTACACAGAGTTATTTTTGATAAATAAAAGAAACTAAAGTAATACCTTGTCATTGATTCTTTATAATCTTGATCATCTATACTAAATCTTTCTCTTAAATTTCTGAATACAAGAGGGCAGTATTCTTTTACTTTGAAATGAGACGGCATATTTTCTCTGAAAAAATACACATAAAATTGTATGTCACTGTCTAGTTATTATTTTACTGTAAAATTTATAAATGTGTGCAATTTAGTTTATCGTTGATATATCCAAAGGTAATAGTTATTCATCCAATTTTGGCTTCTATAGAGATTTCAAGGATTAGGCTTAATAATTTCAGAACTAATTTCAGTGTGAGTAGAGCAAATGGTAAGTGCAGACAATATGTAGAACTAAAGATTTCTGTCAAAGAAATGCAAAAGATATCGCAAGTCAAATAAGCATTCCGCAAAGTGTCATTAGCACCACCAAGTAAACTCAGTATACATATGACATACGTATGTACGCGCATCAATAAAGACGCATAATTACACTTTTCCTTCAACCAAATTAAAGGTATACCTGTCATCAGTGTAAGGATAGATGTGGACTATATACTAGATTTTCTTGATCTATCTTGTTTCACACTGCATCAAAAATGTTGAGATTGCATTTGACTCTGATAATTCGGTTTTAATTTATATTGAATATTTCGACAATCATTTTTTAATTCAAGTTAAATGACAATAGATTTAACAATATATCAACTAACTACTGTTTTGATGAAAATATTTTAATTACGACGTCCTTTGATACGCATTCTTTGACGAAATGATATATTTATGTTAGATATATCAGATGAATATTATCTTGTATTTATATATGTTTTAACACCGAGTGATTATCATGTATGAAAATGCTCCGAAAAAGGCTTCTATATACAAGTGTCACCATGTCCCTTAACTACATAACCGTACGTGATTATTGATCCCTTATAGTTCGCTAGACTATCATCGAGAAAGTATCTAATTTTTGGATAGTTTGATATAGACTTGCATACTACAAAGTTTTGTATCTTTAATTTTTATTAAGAAAAGCAGATTTGCACAATAATTTTGAATTAATGTTTTTTTCATTTGCTGACTTATCAAAGATCGGAGCTGTATTAAATATTGAATAAATAACAAAGTTACATTGATTGTGAAGCAATATATATTAACACTGTATATACATGTGTTATTTATGCGTCAGCAGCATATCGAGTGCCATTACACTAAAGTAAAAAATGTCAGCGTAGGATTGTATAAGAGCCGAGGCAAATCGAGACGAGCGAGTGTAACGAGCGCTAAGGCTTTTATATCCCGCGATGCAAACCTTTCTTTTCCGGTGTGAAGTCGCTCGTTATGCTGCTGATGCTTAAAAAATTTTTATTTTTGGCAAGGCTGTATGAGGGTTTTTAAATATCGGAAACAATCGGTTGGTAAATGAGTCATACGACGCAACTACACACAGTTTATAATATATTAAGTATAATAAATAACTTTTTCGTTTTTCAAGTCTTTTATTAAAAACACTGTCGATACTATTGAACGGGCTGCCTCAAACATGTACTGTCAAAACCATACCTTACGTGTTAAAGCAAAACTACTATTCGTTTAGCTAACTTACGCCCCATGTGGTGAGTGAAAGTTCCATTGGAAGGTGAATCATCCTCCAGTATGTTGAATCCCCTCACGTGCGTCCGCCTATTGTAATAGGGCTATTACACTAGGAGGAGCTGTTCACGCGTATGGACCCATTTATCAACCAAACATGCTCTGTACGTTTGGTTGTTAAATGGGTTCGTACCGGATACGGCCGCCTGCAGTGAATGTGTGTCTCTGTGTGCATGTGCGTGTGTGTGTGTTTATCTGTACGTCTGTCTGTTTGTGTGTATATTAGCTATATAGTTTATAAATGTATATATACATGATAATAATTTTTCAAAATAAGTAATTGATTCAAATGAATTTTCTTGTTTTGACAAAGTGACAGATAATCTCAGTTCTGGATTCTTAGCCTAAAAAGGCATAAGTTATTGAAAGCAACTAATATCAAGTGATGGGTATGATAAGAAATTACATAATTGAAGTTACTGAGAGAATAACGTCGTGATTAAGAAATTCCCCATTCTTTCTGATTATCAAACTGGCTTTAGAAAAGGTCAATCCACCATTCATAATCTAATCGAATTAACATTGGAAGTCGAGGAGGCATTTTCTGAACGAAGGGATGTTTTTGCGGCGTTTATGGACATAGAAGGTACTTTTGATAATTTCAATGTAGAAATTCTTTTAAAAAAATTCGCTGATACAGGTTGACCAATTATATTTATTAAATTTATTCAACATATAACCTGGGAAAGAATTGTACACACAGAAACCCTTGGTGAGAGTTATAGAATCGTTAGCATGGGCGTCACCCAGGGTGGAATTCTTAGTCCTCTCCTATTTTGTATTTATATATCTACTATTTGTAACCGAATTCCAAAATCCGTGAGAGTAGAAACGACATTGCAATATATTGTAAAAGACGCCTAATTTCATCGTGTAAAAGACTCTCAGAAAAAACCATTTACATTATCTACGACAACCTGAAAGAAATTAAATTAGTTCTTGCGCCACTTAAAATAATATTTTTACACTTTAACCAAACAGGTATCAAACCTGGAGATTCTTCCATCACCGTTAAAAATAATGAAATATTATCTAGTGAATCCGTAAGATTTCTCGGTATAGGTTTCTCGGTATAAGACTATCGTCTTACCTTCAAGGATCACATCAATGCTATTGTCCAGAAGACACTCAAAACTAATAATATTGTTACATTTCTGAGAGGCGTTTCCTGGGGATCTAGTCCTGAAACCTTACTCATGTTATACTCGTACAAAAGCTATGTACGTTCAATTATTGATCATGGTTGCTGTGTTTACTATCCCAGTATAACAACACAATCTGAACAGCTTCAAAAAAATTCAGTACGCAGCCATAAGGTTCGCTTTAGGCTATCACCTTAGTGCTATTTCCCACCAATATACTTCTATCTGAATCCAAGCTTCGGTTCATTGAAAAGAGAACTATTTTTTGTGTAATAACTATATCAACGAAGTCATTTCCAATTTCAGCTTACTAGCTCATCGTAACATACGCCGCATTCACAATAAAACTCATAAAAAATATAGTAAACTTAAAAATAGCCGAAGGCTACTTGTTCAATGTATCAAAAACTTGAATTTCGTTGATCATCCCATTTATACTAATAGTTGATACAATATTTACCTCTGTAAACATGAAATTATATTTAACTCTATAGCCATCGACATGGAATTTGGCACTTTACTTGAGAAGGGTGCTAATACTGATACACTAGTTAATCTGCGCTTAATTAAAGACAAAGCTTATGCAATATTAACAAACTGAATTAAGATAGACGGGGGTTAGTCGGTAGCGTAAGCAGTGTTGTGTGAGGGACATAATATTAGACTAACACAAAATCTTCATAATGAAGCATTTATTTCCACAGCTGAATGCATAGCATTCAATGAAGCTGTCAACATCGTTCTTAACTATTCCACCTCAAATGTAAACATTTTTACTGATTTTCTGAGTGCGTTGTTATCTCTTCAACGTATAAATCCTAGTATAAAAGTAAATTCATACATCTTTGAGATGAAGAAAAATATATTTGAATTTAAAAATAAAAGCTTCCGCATTAGTAAACTTCAACTCATTTGGATACTAACTCACTCGGTTATAGAGGAAAATGAAAATATTGATCCCTTAGCTAAGCATGCTACCAATTTGCCTGTTAATTATAATCTTTAAATCCCTTTCATCGACTTAGAGGTGCGTCTCAAAAGAAATTCGATCGATAATACTAGACATATTATCCAGGAGGTAAATACATACAAGGATACGCTCTTTTTTGACCAATTTCACAATCATACACACTAAGACAGATTTTACATCCCATCACTTCCATTTAAATTATATCGCATCAAAGTTGGCAAAAAAAATCAATTTCATTTTTTACTTCTGACGTCATAGTTTTGGAAGAAAAATTAAAAAACAGGCATGTAATTTACGGCACTTGATAGATAATATAAAACCTTACAAAATGAGTATCCACAGGGTTTTTTACAATTACCCTAAGTGGAGATATAAAACTTTAAAGTGCTCACTAATTTAATTTAGTGGCTGGGCGCGACCCACCCGATACAACTACCGCGCATTGGACGCGTTTCTAAAAACAATACTCGTCGTTGAGGTTGCGAGGAAAACTGCGAAAAATGTCGGAGGAAAAGAGCCCACGTATATCAGCTATATATCAGTGAATACTGCCGAAAAGTGAGCATGAGGGTGCACGCGTAGTTCGTGATCTCTTCTTCTTTCTTCTTTCTTCTGTCTCTCTTTCTCTTTTCTATTCTTCTCCTATACCGCTTGGCCTTTCTTCGCCGTTTGTTTTTGTGTCGTACCTCGACAAAGAAAACCAAGTATGAATGTGTGCTCTACACGCACATATTCGCATCTTGGCACAGTGCAAGGGTCTCGGAGAAAACCCGACGGCAGCACGACGGCCATGCCGCCATTCTCCGTTACAAAGTTTTTATCCATATTCAACCCCTCGCCGATTCTTGAAAAATAACCGCAATAGAAAAAGAAAATTTGAAAATGACCATTTTGTAGCTCTTTCCAAACATTATCTAAATTGATCGGCTATAAGTTATTTTCCTCAATTCCAACATATGTATGAGCATTTTTCCCGCAAAGTAATATTTTTTTTCAATTTTTCAAATCTCTGTACAATCAAGTAATGAAAAAAAATGTTTGAAAAAAAAGTTAATTTTTTTTACGTAGAATACGAGGGTCGTTTGAAAAGTCCGTGAAAAAATAAAAACTGCTTGATTTTTTTTAATAAATCTTTTTTATTTTTCAACATAGTCTCCTTTTAGGCTTATACACTTCATCCAACGCTGCTCTAGTTTGTTAATCCCTTCCAAATAATAGGATTTGTCCAAGTCTGTAAAATAGGCATTCGTTTCTGCAATCACCTCCTCGTTTGAATAAAATTTTTTCCCCGCCAGCCATTTTTTCATATTAGGGAACAAATAGTAGTCCGACACAGCCAAGTCTGGAGAATAGGGGGGATGTGAAACG